CGTTCCTCCATGGCCTGTGCTCCAGCTCCTGCCTCCAGGTTCCTGCCCTGAGTTCCTACCTTGGGCTCCCGGATGAACTGTGACCTGGGATATGTAAGCTAAATAAACCCTTTCCTCCCCAAGTTGGTAGTGGTCAGAGTGTTTTGTCACAGAAATGAAGAAACAAACCAGAACAAATACTAAATTGTCATGATGGATAAGAATATCAAAACAGGACTGGTCGTGTTGGCACATGCCTTTAATCCCAGCAGAGGCAGAGGTAGGCAGATCTCAAGGCCAGCCTGGTCTACATAGCAAGTGCTAGGCCAGCTGGGGCTACAGGGAGACCCTGTCTCAAAAAGACAATAAATAAATAATAAATAAATAAATAAACAGCTGTACACACCTTTAATCTCAGCACTCAGGAGGCAGAGGCAGGTGGTTCTCTGTGAGTTCAAGACCAGTCTTTTCTACATAGTAAGACAGGATAAATAAAATAAATCAAAACATCACATTATGCACCTTGGATATATACAGTTTTTACTCAACATTACACCTTTTAAAAACAAAAAAAGGGGGTCGCACTGGAAAGATGGCTCAGTGGTTAAGAGTACCGGTTGCTCTCATAGATGACCCAGGTTTGATTCCCAGCACCCACATTGCAGCTAACAACCATTCATAACTCCAGTTCCAGGGAATCCAATGCCCTCTTCTGACCTCTGTGGGCATTGCATGCATATAGTACACTTACCACTCAGGCAAAACACTCATAAAATAAAAATAAATTAAAATTTTTTCAAAATTAAAAAAGTGTTGCTTATATACCAAGTTAAATATACATCTGTAAGAATATTTTTAAAATGTCACACTGTGCACATTGAATATATATATTTTTACATTGCCAATTATACCTTTAAAAATAGTGTTAATACATCTATGTGTATATATATAATCGTCTGCCTTGGAATCAGAGTGCTTAGTTCAACCTGGAAGTTTAGTGACACGGAACTCATTTCCTATTTTGTGCCTTCCAATATCTGCACGCTCCTCAGCAGCCCAGCTCAGCTGACAGCATCCCTCTGATAGATGAGAGATGATATGTAAGGGGAACAAGCATGTTCTTTCAGTCCTTTATAATGTCATTCTGCCACATTAGTTAATGTCTGTCTCTGCACTTACTAAGGTGGATCTAAAGCAAACTTATTTGACTTACTGACAACTACGGAACAAGGATAAATAACAACAATTTCTTAGAGCCTTTGTGATAATTAATGTGATAATGAGTATAGTCATCATAAACAAATAATTTTTAATATGGGTTATTTTTATAACTCAGGATCATCAACTCAAAGCCTAAGTTTTATGGAGTCGTAAAAGAAATAGGCTGAAACCCCACAGGGCTTGTGATACCAATTGAGAATATAGGCCCTTATGTTTAAGTACCCAATAAATAGTCCCATTCTTAATGTTTCCAACTTGCATTTGTACTTGCTGCAATTTGCATTCTATACATCTAGATGCATCATTGCCCCATGCAGGGGCCATGATACACATTGGAGATGGATGTTACTGAAAACTTTCATAATATCTGGGTGATTGTTTACCTCCTTACTGAATAAAAGCTAAGCTAAGCTATGTTTTTCCAGCAATTATAATAATATCCTTTGTTATTATACTGTACACATGTCCACTCACTCATGCTGTCTCTTCTGTAAAATTACCTAGCAGCTTTGTGCACACATAGTGTGTGTCCTCAGACAGTCATCCCGCTCCCCAGCCTTTTTGCTACAGACTCAGCCATTAAACCAGGAGAGTGGAATCACTGGGGCTGTGCTTTATAGACGTTTGTTAACACCAACTGTTTTATGATTCCCTCATCTACCATGGGACCAACATGTTTTCACTTAAAGAACAATGTGAGCACCCATGGATTTCACCATGAAGCTTTGGTTTTCATTCCAGTCTCAAAACTAGAGTGCCAAATAAATTCCAGAAACAGCCAGGGCATCACAGGGAGGTTACACACCCGCATCGGAGCATTCTGCTGCAGTACCGTCGATCTATTATGTGCTGGATTTCCATAATCTGAATAGAACTGATGGTTGTATCAATCCCTGAATTAAAACAAAATAGAGAAAAAAATAAGCTCTCGAGTAGGAGGAAGTGTTGTGTTCAGGCTTAGCCTCCAAACTGCAGAACGTGAAGGAAGAGTGCCCTAGACAAGTACATTCCACCTGCTTTTAAGTGGAAAAAGAAGGAAAGTGAAGGGGCCAGGCTGCTGTTTCTGTTTGGGGGATGGGTGGGTATAGTAAATTTTTAAAATATTTTTAATAAAAATCCAGGCTCCTATAAACAGCTCCCATAATATCCAAAATAATTTCTAAACTAAAGAAGTCCTATTAAATTGAAATAGACATGGAGGATATAACATGGAATTCAATCTGCTTCAGAAAACGGAAAATGAATTTAAAATAGACTGAGAACAAAAGAGAAAGACAGAAATTTCAATGACATTATTAAAATCCACTGAGCTCTACCACAATCTTTTTGGCAGTGAGTGACAGCCTTATTAATGGTCAGGCTAGCATGGGTGGTAACACGTGTTCACATGGGTGTGTGTGGCCCTGCGTGTGCGTAGCAGGTGGGGCGCCACTTTGTTCCTGTTTCTCATTCTAGTAATGCTTTTACAGCTTGTGATGGCCCCACAAAGGCAAAAAAGAGTGTCACTTAAATGCCAACTTACAGTCATTGTCCCAGTCAGAGCTGATGAGTACATCTTTTGTCAGGAATGATTCACTTTTGCCTTCTGAAGAGTAAAAACATCTGTCAGTCATGAGGTCTTGTTCAGGATGAAGAAAAATCTCTGAGTGTTCTGGGAGTTGAATGCATCCCCACCTCTCTCCCTCCCACCGTTCCACTTATCCAGTCCTATCCCATTTCTTACAGATCTAGTTTATTCTGACCCTCCCCCAAGAAGCCATCTATCGTGGGTTGAGTTATACACACACTCCATCATGTGTTCAAATCCAAACCCCTTCTTGCTCAGAATGTCACTACATCTGATATAGCCTTTAAAGAGGTTAATTAAAATGAAATGAGGCTGTTAAAATGGGCCTTAATCCACTCTGGCTGGTGTCCTTGTCAGACCAGGAGATTAAAACACACAGGGAGGCATCAGGGGTGCAACGCACAAAGGAAAGACCGTTTGAGGTGCAGCGAGGTGACCATCTGCAAGCAAGGGAGAGAGCTTCAACGAAGCCAGACTTGTTGACACCAGGATCTTGGACTTCTAGCCTCCAGAACTGTGAGAAAACAAATGTCTGTCGTTTACACCACCCAGTCAGAGGTGTTCTATTATGACAGCCTGAGCAGACTGCACCACCACCTCAGGGAGGCCTGGAAGCTCATGGCTCTCACTTCAGGGCTGCAGCATGTGCTTATCAATCAGCGGTGTCTGTCACTATTCCAAAGGGCATATCCTCTCTGTATTATCACTTAATTTTGCATGTGTTTTGCCCTTCCTTGACCTTTCCAAGGTAAGGAACCTCTATTATCCTCCTCTGAATCTCTGTAATGCTTGGGATAGACTTGTTCATATTAAGGAAGTCTTTTTTCTCTGTTTAATGAGAAGATAATGGTAGTTTTATTTCCTGTCTAGTTTCTGAATTACTACTGTTGCTCACCAAAACCATTAGACTTATAAGCCTTAGTGTTAGTAGCTCAGCATTGTTTGTGGTATATTAAAACATGGAAATAAGTCATTAGAGGATCTTTTTGAATACCTCCAGTGACAGAAGACTCTCCACCCCAGGGACAGCCTTTTCCTCTGCTGGGCGGTCCTGAATTCCAGGCTTCCCTCTCAGTAAGTCAGTGTCTACCTTCCTGATCGTGGGTTTTGATCCCAATTCTACTTTGGTAAGAATAGGCCCTGAAGGCAACAGCTGTGCCCAAGCCCAGCCCGGCTCACCTGTGGCTGCTAAGGAGCACATCTCTTTTCTTTCTGAATAAAGCTATAGATTATTTCAAATGCAACATTCAGAAATCAGGAAAGAGGAAGAGACAATAACATGCTTGTTGGAATCTAATTTCTGAACTATTCGTGGAAACCTGGGGGAAGTAAGGAGATGAAATTGCGTGGTTGAATGATCCCTTTCGAATTCAGTCCAGGTACTACGAGGGAATAGAGTAAGGGTGCATTTGTCCTTGCTGGCTTTTTCCACCCTCCCTACTTCCCTGGCCTTCCTCCTACATAATAGATCCTATTGAATTGGGGAATATGGTTCAAGAGCAGTGGCTAGAGTAGGTAAAGATGAAGAAAATTAGAGGCAAAGCTATCTCTACTGTAAAACAATGAAATACTTTCATACAAATAGAGTTGGGGGTATCTGAAGACAAGTTAAACAAAAGGTGGATTGGGTGTTCTTTTCTGGGTAGCTAGTAACTTGAATATTTTCGTGTTAAAGAAAAGTCTGCAGGATGTGTGTATTTTTGCATTGAAGGATAATGATAGCTATACCAATTATTCATTGACATTTTTTATTAGACATTGTTCTGAGTGCTTTATAACAGTCCCAAAGGAGGAATGTCCCCACTTCACAGATAAACTCACTGAAGTATAAGGGGTAAAAATAGAGAAGGGCTTCCAATTCAAACCACCTGATTCCAGAAACCACCATTTTGCCATCCTGGAAATACGTCATATGCAATCCATGCAGGAAAAAATAAGTGAGTTTTAACTGAAAGGTCAAAACTAAGCTGCAGTCAGTTGAACAAAAGAATCAGATCACTGGGGTGAAGCCAGACCTAGGACAGTGGTTATGCACCCCTCTTAGACAAAACAGTATTTCAAAAGCAATTTTGGAAAAGGCAACTGCTCAGATGTTAAGAAGATGCAAAATGTATGTTTCTGTGCTTTAAAAAGTAGATGGTGAAAGAAATCACTTAGTAGTGTGATGGTTAACCTTGGTTGTCTAATCGATTGAATTGAGAAATCCTCAGCCACAGCTTCTTAAACTGTGAGTTATGACCCTATCTGGAAGTCATATAACTGATTGTGACAGTTATGAAGTATCTGACAACAGTAAAAGAGTTCTGAATAAGCAGCAACCAAAAGTTAATTTACAATCAAATGCCTAATGACGCACTTGACAGATTTGCACCGTGGGTCTTTACTGAAGCCTTGATTCTGAGCACACAATATCCATATTTTGTCATCACACCACCCAACACCAACTAAGACTAGCCAGGTGTTAGCCTGGGCTCAGATTCAAGTCTACTGTGTGCTCTCATGTTTGCACCATACGTGCAAAGTTTTCTGCTCTTATAGAAACATGGTTTAATTAAAGAAAGCAAAGACTTTTAATAGTTGCCTACCATCATTACGCTTATTTTAAATGCCTATATATCTAAAGTCACTTGAAATTTCTCAGACAAAAAGGGGGTCATGGGTAGAAAAGTTTAAGAAGTCCTGGTCTAGACAATTAGTAAAGTAGAATTCTGGGTAAGTCAGTAGGGGTGCTTCAGGGATGATTGTTACTTGGGACAGCACCTGATGGGGAAAACCCAACCCGAATGTGGATAGTGCTTCCAACAGACTGAGGGCTGGGCTGGAACGAAAGCAGAGGGAGGAAGCCCCTAGAGCAGATTCTCTCTCTTTTGTCTCTGCTGTCATGGGGTGAACAGCCTCTTCCTCCCCATGTTCCTGCTACATGATGTTCCACCCAGAATAACGAGGTCTTACAACCATGGTCTGAAGAATCTGAGAGCATGAGCCAGAAGGAGTGTTTCGTAAGTTGCTTCTCTTTGGTATTTTGTCATGGTGATTAAAATAAAGTAACTAACAAACATACTTAAAAAATAATCAAATTTTGTAGTTTTGAAAGCTGTTTTTATTTTCAGATTTGCATCTATGTTCAAGTTTCAACATTAGATTTCAGGACAGAGAGCAGAAACAACTGGGCTCAGTATTTAGGGACACTCCTCTTGACATCTCTGTCCTCAATTGGACTTTTAAAATTATTTTTCAATTTTATGTACATGCATGAGTATTTGCCTGCATATATGCATGTGTACCACATGGGTGCCTGATGCTGAAAGGAAGCCAGAAGAGGGTGCAGGATCCCCTGGAACTAGCGTTATAGATGCTTGCGAGCTACCATGCTGGGTCCTGAGAACAGAACACGGGTCCTCTGCAAGAGCAGCCAGTGAGTGCTCTTAAGTGCTGGAACATCTCTCCAGGCCTTTCATCAGTACTTTTTGACTAGGTGGAATGGCTTCCTTGCATGTCTGCTCACTTGACTATGAACTTCTTAAAGATGGACTTCCTCATGCTTGTGTTTCCCCAAATAGGCAAAGCAGGCTCTCTGTAAACATTTGCAGAAGTCTCGGACACAAGCCAGGAAAAGAAAGAGAAAAGCCAGTTGTTTAACCTTTAAATATTTTCCTCTTACTAAAAGAGAAAACTCCCAGGAATTGGGACCTAAAGGATACTGAGAACAGATTTGGGAGGCCGGGCTTCTTCCCCCTAGGCAGAGCCAGTCTCTGAGCATGCAGCCAAAGGTAGGTGATGCTTTCCATTAAAAAGAAATGGATCTTGAGATATGAGAATTTTCTAGAAAACTGAATAGTCATTTTCTTTTACATATAAATGCATATGCTTCCCTCAGAGCTTCCAGATGGCTTAGATTCTAGCTGTTCCAATAATAATTTCAGGTATATGTCTTCTACTGTTAGTTTTTCTTAGGATTGCTTTTAAAGAAGGCTGCAGGTTTGTAAGGCAAATGAGGTCTAGAGAAAAGTGAAGACCAGAACTTCTCTGCTGTCTGCTTCCCTCACCATTTGTTCTTTTTTGCTGAACTTGCAGGAAAAGGGGCTCGTCATAAATTCTGATACTAGTACTACAGATTTGCCTCACATTCACACACCTGTGCTTCTAGGTTCCTGGAGACATAGAGCCCCATAAATAGGATTATTGGTTATCTGGTGATACAGTGTTCTTGCTTTCTCTCTCTTTCTCTCTCTCTCTCTCTCTCTCTCTCTCTCTCTCTCTGTGTGTGTGTGTGTGTGTGTGTGTGTGTGTGTGTTTTGAGACACAGTCTCACTACATAGGGTAGATTAGCCTGGAATTTTTAATTTTTATTTATTTTGATGTTGTATGTGTGAGTGTTTTGCCTGCATGTATGTAAACTTACCTGTCCGTGCAATGCCCAGGGAGGCCAGAGAGGGTGTCAGGTCCCCTCTAACTAGAATTACAAACAGCCACCATGTGAGTACTGGGAACAGAACCTGGGTCCTCTGCAAAAGTATCCAGTTCTCTCTTAACCACCACTGAGTCATCTAGCCACTAGCCTGGAACTTTTGATCTTCCCAAGTGTAGGGATTCCAGGTATGTGCTACTATGCCCTGCTAGAGTATTTCTTCAAATAGTAGTAAAAAAGAGAGGTTTAGCCTGGATAGGTGGCTCAGTGAGTAAGACTATGTATTGGTCTTGCAGAGGTCCAAGTTTGTTTCCAGCCCCTGTGTCCAGCAGCTCACAACTGCCTGTAACTCCAGTTCCAGGGGATTCAACATCCTCTTCTGGCCTCCATGGGCACCTACACCCATGTGCACATACACACACACATACATATAATTAAAAACTTTGTTGTTACTATAAAAACATAATGCAACTGTTACCACGCTGGAACATGGAATTTGGGGTAACCTGAGTCTGTGTCCCCAGGCCATGGTCACTCATATTTGTCTCCAGAAAAAACTATATCTTATCCCCTTTAAAAATAAGTAAATAAATAATTTTTTAAGTTAAAAAAAGAAATAATTACTTTAAAAAAGGTGAGACAGGGCCAGCAAGATGGTTCAGTGGGTAAAGTCACTTGCTGTATAAACCTAATGATCTGAATTTGATCCCCAGAACCCACATAGAGATAGAAGGAGAGTACTGACTCCATTAAGCTGCCCTTGAACCTTTACACACACTCCATAGCATGCACATGCCCATTCTCACTCACATCATGCACACGCATACACTCTCATATAATAACAACGAAGTTTTAAAAGATGAGGTTGAGAAGAGATAATCTTACAGATTAAAATTACAAAAACGATTTTTGGAAAGCAAGAGTAACCTTAAATTCCCTAGAAAATGCTCCTAACTTGCTCTTCTTCAGTTCTGAAAAGCTAGGTATTAGAAAGTCATAAATCCTCCTGTGGCCATAGGGGAAGCTCTCGTTTAATATATGCCTTCTGGCAACCTTCACTGTAAGCTTAATATACAGTCCCAGTGATTTTCACTAGAAAGCCTAGGGCGTATTTCACAACTGGTGGATGAGACCTCCCAATCAACTGAATTAAAAACTGGAGAAGAAAGACTGAAAATGGTGTTTGAGCAAAGCCGTGGTCGAAGGCGGTGTATTACCTGCAGAGCTGTGCTGATGGCTGAATTTCAATACAGCATCTTAGAGACCTTTCTCTTCCCCTGACTAAAACAGATCTTTACAAAGAGGTTGATGAAGGCCGCCCATCAAGGCTGAGTCCTTTAACACAGGGACTGTGTTCTTTTGGCCGCTTGTTCATCTAAAACAAAATTGAGTATGAAGTCCAAATGCCATTTTGCTGTTTTTTATTTTTTTATTTTTTTAAACTATCAACTCTTTTACAATCTGTAGAATTCTATAGACCTTTTCCCACAAGCTCTTTTTCATATTTAACTCTCCTGATTGCTTAAATCTTTACGGGTTTCATGGATTAAAAACTAATCCATCATATTCGGCTGGCTCCTGAGAATGTGTTTGATATTCTGAAATACTTCCTGATTTGTCTTTCTCAAACTTTTTTTATTAAGTTTATTAAGAAGATGGGACAGAGTAGGGAAACAGAATGGGGGTGGGGAAGATAATTTTTTAGAAAGACATTTTACAAGGACACAGTCAACTAAAGGGAGCTCAGCATGACATAACAATGCTGATTCTCCTTCTCTTATTTTATTGTGGTCTGACTCCTCGGAGAGGAGGCTGATAAATGTGTTTTGGGGCCAAGTAAACTGCCAGATATTACTCTGCATCCCACTGAGAGCTTTTCTAAGCCTTTAAAAAATTCTTGAATTTATTTTTTTATCTTTATTCCTTAATTTTAATTGTTCTTTATGTCTCAGTAACATCTGGTTGCAAATAGTCACCAGGCTTTCTCCTCTTTGTATTAGAGCCCCAGGGCTGTACATCACCCTGGACAGAGGGAAAGGTTGCATCAGCAGGAGGGAATGCAGTCTTCCCTCACTCTGGGAATGATCTGCCATCAGGGACATTCTGATGGCCACAGGCAGACTTGATGAGAAGGAGGCCTGGAAGGGACGCTACTTTCTGCACCTTTTAGGATGGACTCATGTATGTGCACATCCTGTATCGAAATAAATGGAGGCAGTGTGGGTAGATGAGGAGGAACCATAGTCAGGGAAAGAGGGGGCCCAGATTCCAATTCACTAGCAACTCAGCTGAGTGGGTATAGTGTTTGCCAGACAAACATGGGAACCTGAGTTCAGATCCCCAACACCTATGTATGACTGTACTTAATAGCACACATCTGTATTCCAGTGTTCACAGGGTGAGACTGAAGGCAGAGACAGGAGAAGACCCAGAAGTACATGGGCAGCTTGCCTGACACACTCAGCAGCAACCAACAAGAGACCTTGTCTCCAAAAAGGTGAGGACTAACATCCAAGGTTGTCCTCTGACCTCCATATGCACCTCATAGCATGAGTGCACCTGCAGACAGAGAGAGAGGGAGAGAGGGAGAGAGGGAGGGAGGGAAGAGAGAGAGAGAGAGAATATATTGGGAGTATGATGACAAAACTAATTCATTTCTTCAATTGGAGCTTTACTTTCACTCTGGAGTAATAGACCTGTTCCTAAGTTCATTCAGCATCGCTTCTATAACAAAAAAAAAGCACAAATGCTGCTTCTTATAGACTCAGGGAAAATCTTGTGCTTTGCTTTCTCACTGAAAAGAGGTGGATATTAACAGTGCCTATCTGGTAAGGTTGTGAAGAGTAAATGATTTATCATGTAAGCTACTATGTGAGCGCCTTGTATGAGGTAATACTTCATTACCTCATGATAAATGGTGATGGTGATTTATGAGTTATTTAGTCAAGACTGGGATGTGAAATAATATCAAAAGGGAAGGAAATTAAATTAATACCCCCAAACTCCATCCTCTGACCATATTCTGTATGTCAGACTGCTTGCAATTATTATTTGTATTCATTTTCTCCTTCCAGGCACATGATCAGTTTATACTTCCTCCATCATTTTTGAATCAGACATCACCCATGTGACTTGCTTTGGCCAATAAAGTATACACAGAAGTGACTTATGCTATTCTGAGATGGAAGTAAGAGCCAATGTACAATGCGATTTGTTCTCTTACCACTATTGCAATTACTGTGGAAATGTATACAGAGATGGAATTGCCAGCAGCTAGGTCCTGAACATGGTGACCCAGAGCCCTGTTTTGATTCACATTTGAGATAGTCATAAATAAATTACTGCCACCTGACATATCTATTAAGAGCTGATACTTCAACAGCATAATAATATATAAACCACACTAATATATATTATTGTTATTACATTTACCAACAATGTCATTTTAGAAACTTGTTAATATAGAGAGATAAATTTCTTAAAAAATAAATTGGTGAACTTTGGAAGAAATATGTTTGATCTTACAGAGATAATTACACTTGGACCCCTTGATTGAGTTTCTAAGGACTTTTAACAGAAAAACTCTGTTACTTCAAAGACAACTGGGGGCAGGGTGCTGGTGAGATGGCTCAGTGGGTAAAGCATTTATTGTACAAGATAAGGACCTGAGTTCATATCCCCAATACCTATATAAAAAGCAAGGCATTGCGGCGTGCACTTGTAACCCCAAAACAGGGGTGGGGGTAAGTGGACACGGGCAGATCCCCAGAGTTTGCTGGCTAGCCAATTGGTGAGCACCAAGTTCAGTAAGAGACCCTGTATCAAAAAATAAGGTGACCTTCACATGCCCACACAGGGGTGTGCACATTGACACATACTCATGTACACACATGCATACACTACACACACACACATACACACACACACACACACACACACACACAAAATAAAATTTAAAAACCACTGTTGTATGCACATGTCTATAAGGAAAGGGAAGGTTTCCTGAAAGAGGAATGCCAAGGTGGTGGTTTTCATTGACTCAACCCTAAGAATTTCCAAAGTGTGATGCTGTGAATGAGAAATGTCCCTCATAGGCTCAAGTATTTAAACACTTCGTCCTCAGTTAGAGGTACTATTGGGGAGGTCATGGAATCTTTGGGAGGTGTGACCTTGCTGGAGGAAGGCTGTCACTGGGTGTGGGCTTTGAGCAGTCTCAGCCTCACCCCACTTCCAGTTTGCTCTCTGTGCTTCATGTTCACAGTCCAAGATGTGAGCTCTGTGCTTCCTGCTCCAGCCACCATGCCTGCCGCCAAGTCTGCAGCTTGCTACCTGCCCCCTGGTCATGGCAGGCTCTTACCTCTCTAGAACTGTGAGTGTAAATAAACTGTTCCTTCTGTAAGTTGCCTTGCTCATGGTGTTTTATCACAACAGAAAAGTAACTGATACACAAAGCTTATTTTCCCCCAAAAGTTTCTTATATTTTTCCCTAGTTGGTTTGGGCAAAAGGTCCAGATACAACATCACTTAAGTTCTAAATGAGCCCCAAACTCAATGACACACAATCACCTCACCTGTGCTGCTATCACCATCTTTGTGGGCAATAGACAAATGAGACCTTCTCTCCTGGTAAAGTATTACAAAGAATCACCAACAGTTCAGCCCTGGGCAAAGCATTCAATATATAAAGGACTCCAGTTCATGTGTTTGTGTTTTTAAAGATTTTGCCACAGAAGATTAGAGTCACTCTCTGGATTCTTTTTTTAATTTTGATATTTTATTTATTATTTTTATGTGTCTGTGTGCATTGCCTGCATGTATGTAAGTGCACCCATGTCATGCAATGCCGGCAGAGGACAGAAAAGGCTGTCGGATCCCCCGGAACTGGAGTAACGAACAGTTGTTAGCTGCCGTGTGGGTGCTGGGATTCAAACCTGGGTCTTCTGCAAGAACAGTCAATGTTCTCAACCTCTGAGCCATCTCCCAGCCCCCACTCTCTGGATTCTTTAACAGACTATCCAAGTAGACATTGAAAGTAAAATCTCAAGTTTGCAGCCCTAGTTGTTTTTCTTTGGACATCGTTTACCTGCCCATTGCCTCTGTTGGATTTCCTGCTCTGTCGCCAGTTGTCTTCGTACAGGACTTGAAAAGAATCTTCTTGTTTCCCAGATGGGGCAGCAATAAGTTTCCTGACATGACAGGATCTCACAGAAAGTGATTTCAGGTACTTGCAAGGAGGTCTGTGTGGTTGCCACAGTTGTATGAGGTGCTGCAAGGCATTGGGCAAAACCGTGAGGTCGACCAGAAAGGCCAGCTCCTCTGCTGATGGTCACATGGTGAGGGAGAATGGGTTGGGTTTGTGGTAAGAAGCAAGAAGACCTTACCTGAGGGGGAGGCTGTGGACGGCAGAGCTGGCTCTGGAAACCTTGTGATATTGCTGGAAGGGAACAAAATAGTGAAAGAGTCTTCAAGAGTCCTTCTCCTAGGCCTGGAGAGATGGCTCAGAAGTTAGGAGCACTTGCTGCTCTTGCAGAAAAGTGGAATTTAGTTCCCAGTACTCATGTCAGACAGCTCACAACAGCCTGTAACTCCAGTTCAAAGGGACCCAGTGTCCTCTTCTGGCCTCCTTGGGCACCAGCACACATGTGTACAGATGCACACACATACACATAAATAAAAATAAATCACTTTTTTAAAAGCCCTTCTCCCAAAGGAACACAAGATCTGAACTCTTACCTTAAAGGGAGATTTGGGGCATGTTGGTCTTGATCCTTTAAGCTAAGTATGTAAAGGGCAACTATTGTAAAGGCACTGTTAGGGGAGAAAACAGAAAACATCATGTGGCAGATCTGTTTCCAGATATATTTCATTTATGCTTCCAGCTGGCCAAAGATGTACTCTCAGAGGCCACACAGATGGGAGGATGGAGGAAAGTGGCACCATAGCTGACAGAGACACCACGGAAACTGGCACAGTTAGGCTTTTTTGCCCTGGTGAGAAAAGCCTTGGGCTTCCTGTAGCTCCAAGGCTTCTAGGGTACTCCACACTGAAGGAGTTTTCCACACAGAAGTCCCTGGCCTTGACAAGCTGTCACTAAAGAAGGATTATGAGAGGAAGCCTGTCTGCAGCTGGAAGCAGTACTCTGCTCCTTGCAGGAAAGAGCAAGGGCAAAACTCACATCCCATAGATGGTGGTCATCCACACTGTTGGACTGAGAGATGAAAGGAGGCAGGGGTTTAATCACCAGTGGATGGCAAACCCTTTGGCTACCTCCAAAATATTCTAAAGTACAATACATCAAATTGGTTTAAGGAAAAACAGGAAATGCAATAAAGCACTTCTTTCCACAAAACATGACTCAAAATAATGAAGGTATCTTCCTTCCCATTGTCAGAACTTATACAGCCAAATGGAAGCTTTCCTTAAAGGTTCTGGGCTTTGCATGAATCCCAACAGCATTCATGTATCCAAATAGATCATGTTCTCCTCTTTGGGGGATATTTTTAGTACTCTCTCATGAGCCACGGAAAAATCTGCTGGTGGCATTATAATCTCATCATGTGCTTGGCTGGATACAGGGTCACCTGACTTGATGTCCTACTGACTTCATAGCTCGCTTTCCAAACTTGACTCCTCATTTGTTACCCATTGCGCTGGATAGCTTTAGTGTCAACCTGACACACCTGGGTTGAAGGAGCCTCAATAGGGGAATTGCCTCTATTGGACTGGCCTGTGGTCAGGTCTGTAGGGCATCTTCTTGATTACTGAGTGATGTGGGAGGTCCCAGCCCACTGTGGGTGGTGCCACCCTTGGGCAGGTGGGCCTGTGTTGCATAAGAAAGCAGGTTGAGCAGGGGCCAGGGAGCAAGCCAGTAAGCAGCATTCCTCCATGGCCTGTGCTTCAGCAGCTGCCTCCAGGTTCCTTCCCTGAGTTCCTGTCTTGGGCTCCCTGATGAACTGTGACCAGGAGATGTAAGACAAATAAACCTTTTCCTCCCCAAGTTGGCAGTGGTCAGAGTGTTTTGTTACAGCAATGAAGAAGCAAACTAGAACACCTGTTAAGGTTGTATAGGTTTACCATCACTGCATTAAAAAAAAAAAATGTGCTACATGTTTGAATCCCATTTATAAGGAATGATTTCCTACTGTGTTCTGAGCAGTAACTGGCAACTGCCCAGCAGGCTCAGTCCTTTCTGGGAAAAGTGGTGCTAAACCCAAAAGATGCATCAGACAGAATCTGTAGCGTCACCCTGGCAACTGTTGGCTGTGGTCCAGTCACCCTTATTTTGTTTGCTTCTGCCTCCCACTCTCTATCTCCCCATTACTAACCCTAAAATCCTCTTCCTGGTTTGTTTGACCCCTGCCTCAAGGCATAGACTTCTAGTAACACAGTATGAAATAGACATGTTCTCTTCCGAGGCAAACCCTGGTGCTGATCCTGCTGAGGTACATCAGCGACCAGGAACAAGATAAGAAGCCTATAACCTCACATTTATGGTCTTAAAGTTCAACACTAGGCTCAGAAGTTCTGATGAACGTGCTTAAAAAGCAGTCTCTTTACTTAGAATTAGACTTTGTATCACTGCTTCACAAGGTTGGGAACTGACATCTCTGAAGAATATGAAGTGTATCTGCTAAAGGTGGATACTCGCCCTCTCCTTGGTTGGGAATGTTAGCGGAAGACAAGCACTTAGGAGAATGAGAAAAAAATGCAAAGGCTCCTGTTGGGAATTCCATGTCATGGCATCAAATACTTGGGCATCTTCCCATGTTGGGCATTAGCTGGGTTAAACTAGAGTTGTTATCAATGATGGAGTATGTACTCAGCATGCTCAAGATCCAGGGTTCAATCCCTCGCACTAAACCAATCAATTAAAATTAAAAGGAGCCAGGGGCTCCTCCCAACCCCATGGGACCCCTGAGGAACAAATCCTCTAACGACCTCAAG